GCTTTAACTATATTCATATTATTTTGTTGTCCCAAGTTTGAGTCCCCAAATAGAATTGTGTCAAGGTCTATTGTTCCTTTGTTATTTCTTATAGTGTGAAATAATTCTAATCTTATTTCAGCATAATTCTTACAATACAAAAAAAAAGTGTTCAGTGTTTTCATTGGTATATCCACAGGAACACTGAGTGTTATCTGAAAGCCTGGCTTTAAACAGGTCTGACTTAAGGCGACTCACATTGTGTCTCATTCTAGTTAGAATTGAGTTTGTTTTCTTTTCACCAAAAGAAAAATATTTTGGGGGAGATTCACATTTAAGAAGTCTTTTTTTGAAAGCATTTACAGTTTCAAGGTTTCTGATTTCAGAGGGCAAGGCGTTCCATAATGATATTGTAGATGGAAAGAAGGAATTTTTTAATAAGTTCGTTCTACATTTGGGTATAACAATATTATCACAATTTCGTAAATCATACTGGGTTATTTCTGAGACTTCAGGAGGTAAGAGATTCGATAAATAGTCTGGCGCGAGACCATGTTTTATTTTAAACATTAAACATAACTTTCTCTTTTCTCGTCTATAAGCAAGTGTTTCCCATCCTGTTTCATAATATAAAGAGTTACGGGGAGAGTAAATTGGAAGTCCAGTTACAATACGTGCAGCTTCTAACTGAAGTTTCTCTAGTCTTTCACAGTCAGCTGCAGAAATATTATCCCATACTTCTGATGCATATTCAAATAAGGGCCTAACAAATGTAATATATATCTTTGTTAAGAAATCACGATTTAATGATAATTTCAATTTTCTAAGAACTGCAATTTCTTTTGAAGCCTTTTTAATAATATTATCAAAGTGGTTTGTCCATATCCCAGAATTCGAGAACGTAAGTCCAAGATGACAGCGAGTAGAAGATGGAATGATTTCTTGACTGTCAAACTTAAAGCTTAGTTTGGATACTTCATCTTCACTACTGCCAAATATTAATATTTTGGTTTTTTCAGAATTAAATTTTACAAGCCAGTTTTTTGACCATTGGTTAATTTTTTCTAGATCATGGTTAGTAAGTTTTTCTAAATCCTTCAAGTTTTTAGATGTGTTTGACACAGATGTGTCATCTGCAAATAGTCTAGAGAGACCTGAGAGTCCACATGGTAGGTCATTTATATATACTAAAAAAAGTAAAGGCCCAAGAATAGAACCTTGGGGAACTCCTGCTTTGGTTCTTCCCACTGAAGAACTTGATGATTTAATTTTGACCTGCTGTGATTGACCAGTAAGATAATCACTTAACCAAGCAAGAACTTCACCCACAAACCCGTATTTTTCTAATTTGTATTTTAAACCTTTCAACCAAACCGTATCGAATGCCTTACTGATATCACAAAAAGCAAAGCAGGTGACTTCTTTATTGTCTAAAGCAATACAAATGTTATGATAAATTTCTATTAACTGGGTGACTGTTGAATGTCTACGCATAAATCCAGCTTGTAGGTTATATAACAGTTTATGTGATACTAAATGATTATAGATGTATTTAAACATTACTCTTTCAAAGATTTTCCCCATACAACTCAACAAGGAAATTGGTCTGTAGTTTGATGGGTTTGATTTCTCTCCCTTTTTAAAGACAGGAATAACATTAGCATGTTTCCAAACACATGGAAATTTCCCAGTTTTCAGAGATTTATTGAACAGAATTTTTAGAGGGATTGCAATTTCATTACTTATTTCTTTTATTAAAATATGACTAAAATTGTCGGGACCGGAGGCTTTTTTAGAATCTAAAATTTCGATAATATCGATAATTTCAATTTCATCTATTGTGATATTATCAAGTGTGGCCTCTGTCCTTGTTTCGAATTCGGGAAGGTCTTTACCTATGTTATCATTAGAAGAAACTTTACAAAAATAAGCATTCAGTAATTCACATTTCCCTTCATCTGTAAATACATAGGCATTATCTTCTTTTAGAGGTGGAACAGAGTGTGATGGCTTAGAACATTTCATTTCTAAATTGATCAAAATTCGCTCTTTTGTACAGGAAGATCTTTCGGACATACGTATTTTGGATCACTGTATCTAATTTGAGTATAATATAAGTTGCTTTGTGATCACTTATAGTTTTTTCAATATCAATAGTTCCCGATTCAATACAATCAAGGGTATCTGTAATAAGTATGGGGTCAATGCAAGTTGATGTCATATATGTCACTCTCCTTGGCTCGGTAATATAGTTTGTAAGATTATATGTCATAATTATATCACTAATATAGGTTGGAAGCTTCTTACTGAAGTCTATATTCCAATCCCCATTTAATACTAGATTATTAGATTCATCTAAAGCCCTTCCAATTGAGATTTCAAGCCAGTTCCAGAATTCAACCTTGGATGTTTCAGGTCTGTAAATAGTGCATAGAAAAACGCTTTTTGTTTTTAACTTAATTTCTACCCAAATTGTTTCATCTAACGCATTTTCAAGATCCAGGCGTCTCAGCGCTACTAAGCCTTCTCTTATATAAACAAGAATTCCACCGCCATGACTAGTTCTATCTAATCTAAAGGGAGAATTGTACCCTTCAATTGTTAAATTCTCTGTATTTACAAGATCACTCAAATGAGTCTCGGTAAAACATAAAATATCGTTCAATTCAAAGTAATTAGTTATCTTGTCTAATTTGTGTCGTATACTCCTACAGTTCAGATGAAATATTGATAGACCAGTTACGTTTAGCTCTGGACCAGGATTTTCCGCAATATCATTACATAACAAAAGCAAAGTCATAAGGAGAAGAATATATTGGATATTTAGTATATTTCTCTTGATCAAGTCGTGTACTTGGAAGAGGAAAAACAATACACTTTTTGTTAATTTGCCGTATTTTAAAATAAAAAATCTTTTTCTCCGAATGATTATCTTGTGACACACGGAGTAATAATTTCCAATCGCCGCACGATATGTCATTAGATCATTACCCATGATCTAAGACGTCAAATCTAAAGAAATAAAGACAGCTAATTCTCGTACAGCGACGGTAGACAGGAATGTCGACTTCATTCATACAGCGTAACGCGTAACGTGTTTGTAAAGTAAAAATGCATCCATCTACAAGAGTTAGCCTTCCATCTACAGGATTATCATTCTTCAAAATATTTTTAGTGAAAAAATATTAATTATAAAAATTATGCATCTAAAACTTCTGTAACAATTAAAAGAATTATATAATTATCTCAATTTTTAATTTAGGTAAACTATTATTTATAACATAGTTCAGACTTGAATGAGTTAACTATAAAATGGTCCTCATTATTAAACTCCGGTAAGACAATTCATGGGATTGTTTGGGATAATTTCCTTGGAAAGTTATCTCTCTTATCAGAGGGATATAACACCTTAAAATTTTCAATTTTCATACATCGTATGGTCGCCATGCATTTTGAAGAAGGGACACAAAACATGTACATACAAACATCTCTATGCGGCACGGCTTTGAATTAAAGCTGAACACGACTCGTAAATAGGCATACGCCATTTTCGATATTACTATCTGAGATATCAGCACCAGGGTATACTCTTCGCATTCGTTACACCTGACTGCTTTATTGTCACGGGTATCGGCGTGGAATGGCGACCCGTGTTCGTGCTGGTTATCTTGCATTATCTCTGTTTACATTTTATTGCAGTTACTGACGTGTATTTTTGTTTGTTTGTATACTGCACTGACCTGTGCAACTGTTGTAAATCTTTTTGGTATCTTACTCCCCTGCATAAGAAGCACAGTTATTTTTGTCGCTACCAAGTGCTGTATAGCATACGTCCGTCTACACCGGTGACAATTGATTGCACTGAACAGTGACCAAGTGAGCGGCTCTATATATAGGGGTCCTCAGATATAGCGCAAGTCCAACCGAATATGGCGGACAGATTCTTTTTACGAAGCGTGTTCAGCTTTAATGATACAAAACGTGGCTATCTTTTACAGTGAGCACCTTTGAGGAATGTTTACCTGGGTAGAACTCTCATGTGACAACACGTATTTTAAATAATTTATTCCACAGGTGGGTTCAACATAGGTCATACACGTAAATAGCTTTCCCTTGCTATAGAAAAAAAACATTGAACTTTTCATACATTTTTAACATTTTAAGTACAAGCCTAATCTTGTACAAATTTCCTACTTTCATACAAGTTTTATAAATGTATAATGCGTTTTTTGTCATTGTTACAAGTATGGGCTGGAAACGGGGGAGTGGGGTCCCAAATGACTCGGTACACTCCGAGGATGGGGACGGGGGAGTGGGGTCCCCAGTGACTCGGTACACTCCGAGGATAGGGACGGGGGAGTGGGGTCCACCGTGAGTCGGTCTACTTTGAGGATAGGGACGGGGGATAGGCGTCCATAGTGACTGGGTACACTCTTAGGATAGAGACGGAGGAGTGGGGTCCACAGTGACTCTGTACACTCTGAGGATGGGAAAGGCGGGGGGATGGGGTCCACACAGTGACTCGGTACACTCTGAGGATGGGAACAGGGGAGTGTGGTCCACAGTGACTCGGTATACTCCGAGGATTGGGAGTGGGGTCCACAGTGACTCGGTATACTCCGAGGATTGGGGGTGGGGTCCACAGTGACTCAGTATACTCCGAGGATTGGGAGTGGGGTCCACAGTGACTCGGTACACTCTGAGGATGGGAAAGGGGTCCATAGTGACTCGGTACACTCTGAGGATGGGGGTCCACAGTGGTGATGAATCACTTCCTATCGGTGATGGGTTTCCACTGCTGTGAAAGTATTGTAGGTGCAACACTCTCACTGCTTACTTGTGTGTTTTAGGGTAGAAGATGCTCTTCCTTTCCCCATCACCCCCCCTTTTACCTGCCTCCTTCCCCCCACTTCTCTACCTTCTCCCCTATCACCAAAACATACGGCAAGATACAATATAAATGGGAGGAGGGGACAGTACTAATGCATCGTTTATCTCAAAGATAACAATACAGTGTAGGATGAATTAATGTCACTCCTGCTTAATCAGTTGCAGAGCCTTTTATTGCAAAATGAAGACATAGTTCATAAAATAATAAATATTTTACAATTGCATATCTAGCTTTGAAAATTATATTCGCATTGCGATAAAATTACATAATACATACCATTACAAGGAAATAAAATGACAAATCTAACTAGAAAGTCAATTTAATCTGTTCTTTGTGAAACAAAAAATTCCTGATCACCACTGAACTGTTTAGTCACTTTTTGCAGCTACAGTCATTTGCACATTTGCAAGATTCGGGTCCAGTACAGCCCTTTCCACATGCGCAATTACCTGATAAAAAGATTAGAAACTTTGTACAATATTTTTCTTTTTAAAACTGATCGTACATTAATGTTAGTCTATGAGTACCATAAACATCAACGCTTTTAATTTTACACTGCGATTGGGTATTTATACATGCAAGTGTATCCTAAATCCAATTCATTTATAGAAATAAAATATCGTTTAAGGTAGTACAAAACACCCACGAAATCTGTTTTAACTCATTTCTTATAAAATACGTCAGAAAAAAAAGAATAATATTACTAAAATGTCAAAAATCAATGATCTATGTAAGAAAAATAAAAAGGTGTGACATGCTTTTGCCACATTTTGTTGACATTCTGTATCTTGGTTATTTTGGAGTCTACAATATGCCATCTACATGCCATATGACAGTCTGTTATAAAATGCAAAGTAACTTTTGATCCATTTATAGTAGAGACCTGATATTTGGACATATTTAATATTTATTAAAATTCTCCATTCTTTAAGTACATGTACAACAAAGGTCAAGGTCATATTAAGAGGTCAAATATTTTGACGTCATCTACTGATTCTGGTAATTTTTTTTGCATTTTTTTTTTTTTCGAATTGCCAAAATATCTCAAACGGCTGGTTCAATTTTCCTCATTTTGACACATTTCAATTTGGGTTTCATTTCAGTCATTCAGTTGATTTTTTGCAAAAATTGAATTATACATTTAGAACTTAAAGCTATATATTTCGTATCTGAGCTAAAAAATAAAAATATGAGATTGAGTGTAGATGAACATAATATTTATTATTTACTTTCAAATCAAAATTTCACCTATTTTGAACTTGAATAACCTACGTCTCTATAGTTAAATTAACTTTAAACTGTGTCTGATATTTAAATGCAAGTAAATAAATCGTTTATTCTTTTAAATTTTCAATATCTATGAAACGCGATTGATTTAAATTGTGTAATTTACGGAAAAGTCCTATCTATATGCAAAGTAATAAAACAAATAGATCTTTTTAATTTTAGCTAGTCTTTACTTTTCAAAAATATACCATATATGACTTTAAAGTTTAGCTTATTTACATGCAAATTTTCTATGCTCGTACTATGCATGATCTATTTTTACATAACATTTTACTCAAATATAACGGCTTCAAAATATTTTGCTGAATTTTAGTAACAGAAAGGTTGCCTTTATAAACAGCATCACACATTAAATAATGTATATTCTCAAGTCAGATGTTTAATTTCACAATCTTCTTACAGGGGTCTGATAGGCCATATTTCATACTATGTGGGCAAAAAATGTGTGGTTGAATTTTTTTCATATTACATGTATATATAAAGAGGGATTTTTGTATCCTAGAACAAAATATCAAAGTTTCAAAAAAATATAACTGGGCCTATCTAATTGTGTACTACCTTAAATTAACTAATTCAGCAGATCACAGGCACTTGGGGGATGGACCCCCCCCCCTTTCCATTTTTTTCCTTTTAAATTGGGATTGACACACCTTTTTCCTCTTTTTGTATTATCTAATATGCACTATTCATGTATGTTATCGATAATGTAATCCTTATGTTTCAATAAGCTGTTTTTAAATATATCATTTTCGACTGATACATAAAAAGAGAGCCAAAAATGATATATAAAAAAAAACAGCTTATTGAAACAAAAGGATTACATTATCAATAACATATAATGCATATTAGAATACAAAAATAGGAAAAAGGTGTGTCAATCCCAGTTTTAAAAAGAAAACAAGAAGCCCATGGGCCACAACGCTCACCTGAGTAACTTTGGCCTTGCTGTTTTTCACCTGATACCCCCCCCCCCCCCGTAGTACTTATTGTTGCCCCGCCTTACCCCAGTGGGTCATGATTTGAATCTGTACAACCCCAGGATGCTTCCACTTAAGTTTCAGCTTTTCTGGCCCAGTGGTTCATGAGAAGATTTTTAAAGATTTTTCTACATATTTCAATGTGAAAATTGGATTCCTTTTGTGGCCCCGCCCTACTCCCAGGGGGCATGATTCGAACAATTTAGAATCTACACTACCCCAGGATGCTGCCACATAAGTTTCAGCTTTTCTGGCCCAGTGCTTCTTGAGAAGAAGATTTTTAAAGATTTTTCTACATATTTCAAAGCAAAACTTGGATTCTTTATTGTGGCCCCGCCCTACCCCGGGGGTCATGATTTGAACAATTAGAATTTACACTACTCCAGAATGCTCCCCCCAAGTGCCTGTGCAGCAGATAATCAAATTAAACCTTTCAAACCTACCGCTGCAGCTGCATTTCACCTGACATCCAGTGCACTTGCACCCGGGTCCACATTTACATCCGGGTCCGCATTTACATCCGCTGGGTGGACAGGTTTCTCCGCACTCGCATTTTCCAGCTTGTAAAATAACAAGCAGGATCAAAGAGCGATAACTCTCATAATTTTCATGATACAAATCGGATGCGTAAATAATAGACTTACTTTCTAAGCAATTACATGGATCAGACATTTTTTTTTTCGTTATTAGGAGTTACCCACTGAAATAAAAATTAAATATACATATAATATTTTTCAATCTTGAAAAAATATTGCAAAAGCTACATTCATGTAGTCTGGCGTTCAATTCAATTAATTATGCTAATTTTTCTACAAAATTCACATCAATTTTTAAATATTACTATCATGTTTCTCAAATTCCAATATTAAAAACATACCTTACTGCACCAAAGTTATCCTTTTCCTAAAAAAACGTGTTCCTCGCAAGTGAATTCGGCGCCGACTGAATGATGGTCCAACGAAATATTCAGTAGTGGGTGCAAATGGTCCGCTGGAGAATACGGTGTCGTGCGCAAACCGTATATAATCTATTCTGAATCAGTCAAAATAAATAGACAAGCAATGTAAAATTTCAAAAATTACAGTTTGCTGTGGTTTTTTATACAGTATACATGTAGAATTATTGTCGCAGCGGTTGATAGAACTTAAAAAGTGAACTAGAACTTGGTTTGATTGGGGAACACGTGAATATAAGAAATCTTCACCTTGAATATTTGATTAATTAATTTCATTGTGTCAAGCAGGAAGAGACAACTTTATACAATGTTTTAATGACTTTGCATTTCCTTTCCTTTTTTTTTTTGCAGTCTGTGGAAGATTTAAGGGGAAGTACATTTCGCCCCCTCTCCATCATCTTTTTATTCCAGTTTTTGTTTGAAAAAGGTAAAGCGCGTCTACGGAGTAGATAAATATAATTAAAGTAAAGTACTACAACCAAAAACTTAGGCACATTTGTTAACGTTGATTCTTTAATTAATTAACTGGAAATTCTGGATCCCTCTCTGAGTAGGTACGGATATTTAATGGTGTCAAGGTCAAAATTTTGCATTTGTACTCACTCGTGGCTCATATCTCTGCCTGATTTACTACTAACAGTTTTCGAGATTATTTTTTTTAAATTATAATGTGCTTGTATATGTCCACGGTTTCCAAAACAAATGAGACATAAGAAATACGTGTATACTTTATACTATAGGAAATGAGCAATCTTTTTTCAAGCTAATTAAATTCGGTCGACGACCTAATGGGAAACCACAAAGTGGTGGTAATTCCGATTATGATTGTTAGAGAACAATAACTGTATAGTAACGTACAATCAAGGTCATTTGTACACATAATAAATATTCATAACAAATTCAGCACAGAGTGAGGATCCCTAAAGAATAAAGAAATATTGTATATGATTAGAATTAAATGTAAAAATGTTACTACCCGTTCTTTTCCTTTTTTTTCATATTTCCACACGGCACTAGACGCGTAGCTTATGGAACGCCATAGCTGCCTGAAGGTCATTTTCATTTTATATGAGGTGGTATAACCTTTATGTGAAGTGGTGAAGTCATTATATATAGTGGTAAAATCATTATATTCAATGAAAACTTTATTATATGAAGTGGTGTTATCTTTATATACAGTGATAAAATCATTATATACAGTGATAAAATCATTATATTCATTGATAACTTTATTATATGCAGTGGTTTTATCATTATATTCAGTGGCAATGTCATTATATGTAGTGGTTAAATAATGTAATGAAGTGATAGTACCGTTACATTATGCTGTAAAATCCTTATATGCAGTGGTTTTTCCATTATATACATTACTGATATCTTTCTGTGATGTGATGAATTGAATACATACAGTACAAACATAATTTGTGTGATAAAGCAATCATTACATTGTATGAAACCCGCTGCATGTGGAGTGCCAAGTTAATTTCATTCAGTGCGACACCTTTACATGAAGTGAAAAATCTATTATGTGCAGTACTAAGATCATTATATTATATAGTAAAATTATTATATATATTCCTAAAATCATACTTTGCAGTGGTAACATCTTTATATGAGGTGGTTAATTAATTATATGATGTTGTTAATTTGTTATATGATGTGGTCAATTCTTTTTATGCATTAGTCGTTTCATGTTATGCAGTGGTAACTTCTTTATCATCATCTAAACTGGTCCTCTTGCAAAAACATTTTTTAAAAATGCGCGGAGTTCCAGTTTAAAGAGTGTTTGAAAATAGGAAACCCGGGCCGTGGCAAATTAAAAGCCGGGACTATTCGAGATTTTTCAAATTTCTGATTTAAAATTTTCAGACTCTTTTTTTAGGCTAATGTGTTTTCGCTGTAAAAATTGTATTTAAATACTTGGTATTTTAGATTTTCTTTACGATTTTTGGTTTCAAGTAAAATTGGTAGGCAGTTTCAATTTTCTGATTTAATATTTTATCCATTGTGCTATAAGTACTTAGTATTTTAGATTTTTTTTTTGGCGATTGTTGATTTCCATGTTGGTAAAATGTGTAGACTGGGTTGGCGATATTTTATGTGTGTGTGTTTTTTTTGTTGACATATTTGATAAAAATCTAATAAACTTAAAAATTATTCCTTTGTTAAACACTGTATTTTAACTAAAAAAAACTTTTTCTTTTTGATAGTTATTTCTTTATTTGAAAATGCTATTTTTATGCAAAAAACACATTTTCATTAAAAAAAAAGGATTATTAAACCAGATCCGATCATCCGGGAAGAACCTTTTGCAAAACACCATAAATCATTTCTAATTTCATAATATGCAAATGTGCACTTGTATCTATTTGTTAGTAGATGGAAGGAAACTGGATTACGTTAAATATGTAATTTGTTTAATAATTTTTTCGGGGGGGGGGGGGGATGTTAAATTACTAATATCAACTATTTATAAGACTGTTTCTAAGACTTCAGAAAATCTTAAATCACATTGAAATGCTTAAAATAAAAATTGCTGCATGAAAACATTTCATTTTCAAGTTTCATCTTTGCCGTCGCCAACGTGGCACGGTGATTAGAGTGTCTGCTCTAAGAGACGCGGAATAAGGAGTCAATCCTTACGTCACGAGTTCGAATCCGACAGTGGGACGTTGAGACAGGTCCTTCGTAAGAGACCGCATAAAACCATAAACCGAGGTCCCGTTCCACAGTAGGTGTTGGCACGAAAAAAAATCCCTCACTGCTCAATGGCCGTAAGTGTCGAGTATAGGACAAAATTTGCAGCTCTCCACTGGCAAATTGTGGCGTCTCCATATGAGTGAAAAATTATCGAGAGGGACGTTAAACAGCAAACAAACAACCAAATTAAAATCATTTTAGCCTTTTTGAATAAAATGATAAAATTAAGAGTTATCCTTCAAGGCTGAGGATCGGATATCCTTAAACCAAGCAACTTACGCGTGATTAAAGTTTGACACAAGGCTTTGCATTAATAGTCCTATAATTACATGTATATGTGATAATTCTTTAATTAATTTATATTTTATCAAATGGCATGTAGATAATGAATAAGTATTTCGGATTTTTTATGTTTAACTTCCGGGAGATCAAATCCGATTTTAAAGAACCATTGGCATCGGAAGGAAATTGATAGTGGGGTGGCTAATTGAAATAGAAAAAAAAATCAAACCTGAAAAAAAACTTGACAAGCAAAAAAAAAAAAAAAAAAGGAAAATTGTTCTTTCTCCAAACCCGAAAATCCTATTTCGGGGGTGTGGGTGGGTGGGTGGGGTGGGGTGGGGGTGTGGGGGGTTGGTCGAACATCTCTCAGTACCAAATTCTTTTAAACACTACCAATTACCCTTCTTTCACTACAATGAATCGTGCCTGTAGAAAGTGGGGAGGGGGGGGGGGGCTAGACCTACGCCCGAATTTTCAATGCCTATATTACGTCTACCTTTGTAAAAAAAAAAGGGGGGGGGGAAATAGCCCCCCCGGTTCCGACGCCTATGTGAACCAGTTTTTCTTAAACGTGTCATTTCACTCAAAAAATGCCATTCAAAGAATGAATAATTTTTAACATCAGAATAATTTAAAAGTTTATTAGCTTTCTGTCAAATATGGCAAAAAAAAAAAAAAAAAAAAAAAACAAAAAACAACAAACAAAACACGTAAAATTTCTACTTGATTGCCTACCCGATTTACCAACCTCACGGGCGGATTCAGAAAGGGCCTATGGGGCCCGCCCCCTCCCCCCCCCCCCCCTTGTATCCAAAATATACATAAGATTTAATAAATCAATTGTTTTTTGGTTTGGCTGTGGGCTACCTACCCCGACCAAAAACTTGTCGGGCCCCCCTTTTCAAGATTCCTGGATCCACCACTGAACTTGGAAATCAACAATCGCCAAGAAAATCTAAATTACTAAGTATTTTTAAAATTAAATGCAATTTTTACAGCGAATACACATTAACCTATAAAAATGAGTCTTAAAATTTCAGCACAGTTGATAAAATCAGGAAGCTGTATAATAGAATCAGAAATTAGAAAAATCTCGAATAGTCCCGGCTTTTAATTTGCCACGGCCCGGGTTTCCTATTTTCAAACACTCTTTAAACTGGAACTCCGCGCATTTTTTTAAATAAAAGGACCAGTTTAGATGATGATAAAGAAGTTACCACTGCATAACATGAAACGTCTAATGCAAATAAAGATTTGAGCACATCATATAACAAATTAACAACATCATATAATTAATTAACCACCTCATATAAAGATGTTACTACTGCAAAGCATGATTTAAGGAATATATATAATAATTTTACTTTATAATATAATGATCTTAGTACTGCACATAATAGATTTTTCACTTCATGTAAAGGTGTCGCACTGAATGAAATTAACTTGGCACTCCACATGCAGCGGGTTTCATACAATGTAATGATTGCTTTATCACACAAATTATGTTCGTACTGTATATATTGAATTCATCACATCACAGAAAGATATCAGTAATGTATAAAATGGAAAAATCACTGCATATAATGATTTTACAACATAATGTATCTATATTATCAATTCATTACATTATTTAACCACTACATATAATGACATTGCCACTGAATATAATGATAAAACCACTGCATACAATAAAGTTATCAATGAAAATAATGATTTTATCACTGTATATAAAGATAAAACCACTGCATATAGTAAAGTTTTCAATGAATATAATGATTTTATCACTGTATATAATGATAAAACCACTGCATATAATAAAGTTTTCATTGAATATAATGATTTTACCACTATATATAATGACTTCACCACTTCACATAAAGGTTATTCCACCTCATATAATATGAAAATGACCTTCAGGCAGCTATGGCGTTCCATAGTAGCTGCTTATACGCAAATACGTAAGTGTGTACACATCATTTTACAACATAAATAAATAGATAAGTAAATTTAAAAAAAGAATACAAAAGAGAGAGTTGGTTATTTTGAGAAAAAAATCTCAGTACTATATCCGACGATTATTTTGTGTGTCTCAAATTATTTTGTGTCATACTGTTTCGATTCTAATTTTATACAAAATATCATGCCTGTATAATTAAATTTGAAAACTATATATTATTAAATCATTGCCAAATCCAAATAAAATCATTTTCATTAATTTTTTTTCAAAGATCTTTTTGAGAAATCCAAATTCAAACATATCATTGAATGCTACATGTATTATCTACTCGTGTATGATTTAAATACGACATTTTTTTGTTAAAAACAAACATTTATTATACTTGTTGTTGAATATTACAAAAAGAGTATTTGATACCAAAATATCGCTGAAATATTTAGCCTCAACTGCAGGTACAATAAATTTCCATGGAAGTATTACCTTCATGTTAAAAACAATATTACTATTTTTTTTTTTTTTTTTTTTTTTTTTTATTATTATTATTTTCTAAACAATGGCGAAATGCCATAATTTTTATTTTGCAAAGAAAATAAATAAAATATTTGGAAAAACTCAGCTGCTTTCGGGGTTTCGCCCCCTGAGTCCCCACCAGAGTTTCGTCCTGGACCCACTGAGGGGAGGAGGCTCAAGGCAGCCCCCAGGAGCCCTGTCGTTCTCTGTACATCTCACTTCCATTCTGGCTACTTGTCTGTATTGACGGGAAGTTTTGCGGAGAAGTAAACTATTTATAGGTCATTTACAGGAATTCCAAATAGGTTGAGGACATTTTAGGGGGAAAGTTCAGTCAAATATTCATATACCTTTTTTGTTAGCCAGACTATGTCTGCTAGCCCCTGGTCACCAACAGAAATTTTCATAAGAAAATAGTTCATTTTTATACAGTTAAGATACGAGCTTTGCAGTGTGTCACAGAGCATGAACTCTACTGAAATTTATTCTTTTTTCTCTCGATTCGTTTCTATACCTCCACTACTTCCACACTGTTCAATGAAACCTTGAATATTGATATTTGGCTAAAAATGACCATTCACACCATTAGAAATTCTGCTAATATGTCCAGCGCCTATTTCCACCAAGACAACAGAACAAACGCATATACTCTTGACTCTATATAGCTATAGCTCTTTGTTGATGTTTGTTTGTTTATTTATTCATTCTTCTTTAAAAAAAATCGTTCCCTTGAAGGCTCTAAACCTCTATTTACATGAAACATACTGAGGATGTATAGAAAAGACCTCAAAATATTTACTCAAGCAAATCAGATCAAATAAGTTCGACTTCAACAGTAAGGTACTGTGTTTGATATATAGATGAAAGATTTTATTAAAATAATTGGATTTTATACATACACAAACCAATGTAACGCTCTTACACTGAATTTTATTGACACACACTTATCAATTGTTCTGAATTAAATTTTTTTTCTAATAAAAAAAGTAATTATTGTCCCTTTTCCTTTAACATTCCTCCATTGGTTGCCTCATTTGGTAGCCATGACGTCACTTTTTGCAGCTGCTGCAATCAGCTTTTTCACATTTGCCAGGGTTTTGACAGCACTTCTCTGTGTCTACAAGATTCACACAGTATATCTTTTATTTCATCTATTTGAGGTACATTTATATATATATATTTGCATATGCCAAAATATTTACAGTACATACAATATACTATATATAAGAAATTTACTATACAGCGTACATGTACGTATATTTCAATATATAATACCAGAGTGTATTATGATTATATGAATTATTTTATCCATATATATAATTTATTATGTACACCAATGTAGAATACAGACTCAAAGTATGCATCTAACTGAAGAACAAGTTTCTTTCTTGTTTTAAACATAAATTGGATATTACAAGGATGTCGAATTTTTTTCAAAAGATTAATTAAAATCCCCAACACAGGATTTCTTTTCCTTATTATATTTAAACAAATGTTGAATAAGACACAACCTTAGCAAACCGTATTTTAGTTCTTACCCCCGCAGCAGGTTTTGACTGGACGCTTACAGTTACCACAATTACAAATGCCCCCTGGTTCTGTACAGTTACATTCAGGTCCACACCTACAGGATCCGCCTGCTGGTTTCTCCTCTAAAATTAAACAAATGGTCCATATACATCAACGCTAACCTGGTTAATCTTTGTTGTTGCAGAGAAATGCACGACTTCAACATGTAAATTTCAATAATAGACGGTACTTGCGACTCAAATTTAATAAAATTAAATTTATTTTAAGTGAGGGTAATCGCTTTTTGTTTGAGAAACTGTAGCCTTGACCATTTTTAGAATTATTTTCTAAACATGTCTTGTGGCCCAGTCATGTGACAGAAAAAATGAGGACGTGGTTTTAATAATCTTAGCTAGAACTAGGTAATGAAATGAATGGAACTTTTCAAATTGTCATTTCCAAAGAAGAAAGTTTTCAAATGATCTTAAATTGACTGCTCTTCGGATTCATTAAATGCTCCAATGCCAAAATGTTTAACATATGGGAGTTACGGGTCGTTTGAGTGTGAGCTTAAAATCGAGGCCATGTTGCAGAAGGTACTGACACGATTGATTACCCCACCCCCTTTTAGGTAATATTGTGAATAATGCATGTGAACGAAGAAAATATGAACAAAGAGAGATAACTCTAAAAAAAAATACAATACAAAAATGAAGTTACCAGTCCTGACGTAATTAGATTAAGCTTTTTTTGGAGGGGGGGGGGGGGTCGAATGATTTTGAATTAATTTTTGAATTAAACTACATGGACGTTCAATTAAACAGATGTACAACTGCTTTTAACCCCCCCCCAACCCCCAACCCCCCAAAAAAAAAGAAAAAAGAAAAAAAAAGACTTACTTTCAACACCCTTGCACTGTGCTTGGTCAGACATTTCTAGAGTTCTAAAGTTGACAATTAAAATAAACAGAAAATTGTATATCGAATTCGAAATGATATATTACATCTTTTAAAAATAAAAAATTAAATTCTTATATTTTAAATATCATTTTATGTTTTACCTCTGTTGATCTCTCTTACAATGTTGTACAGTTCTCCTGTAACTGATGAACTCACATTGGCGATGTTTAAATTTTCTTTTAAAAAAATTATATCCGTGTGCAGATGAATAGAATGTTGTATTCGATGGATATGGAAAGGAAATAACGCGGCGTAGCAAGGGTATAAAGCATCTACGTATAAAGTATATAATGAATTAACAGATGGTTAATAGTGTATAATGAATTAACAGACGGTTAATTGTATTTACACTCTGGATATCAGATACAATTTCGAACTTATTATTTTTGTTTCTTAGAATATTGAGATTCAATTGTTACCAAAAAGTGAATCTAAATTCACAAAGAAAGAATTTGAAGATTGAAAAGAAAAAAACCCGTACATCTATGCCTATTGATACACGTCAGCGGCGGATCCAGGAATTTCATAAGGGGGGGGGGCAGTAGAAGCCAGGGGGTCTGGGGGCTGTATTGAAGCCCATAGCGGGTACAAGGCAAAGCCCTGGTGGGGGTCGGGGGGTGGGTGGGGGGAACTGACGAATTCTAACAAATAAGTGGTGTTATTTGCTTTGATTTTAGGATAATACAATTAAACAAAATTTTTTAAAAATTCAAACGGGGGGGGGGGGCGTACGCCCGGCGCTGGATCCGCCTTTGCATGTTCTAAAGCAGTTCTTTGATCCGCCGAAGAATTTGATCGCTTTGAAGTGACATATCAAATTCGGTAGTGGATCAAAGATCTTATTTTTGTGAGATTATTTGTGAGAATATGATTTTTTTTGTATCAGCGGGACAACACATATGTTAACGCCACTAGTTCTTTAGGTACTTTTTTTGTATCAGCGGGACAACACATATGATAACGCCACTAGTTCTTTAGGTACGTGAAGTATAGGTAAAAATGAAAATAAAATATTCCTGAGAGAAAGAAAAAAATCTCTGTACAGTCATTTACGATAGGAATGAAAATGTTTTTTTTTTCTAACGTTTGGTAAATATTTGTCTTTTAAAATTGAGTCGTGATTTGTATCATAAATCAATAATGTAAAAATACCCCTCTTTCATTAAACTTTAATATAGTGCATGAAGAAGAGAACGGGTTGTTTGCAATACGGACTCGTGATAAATTATCTACTCTGTGTTAATCTTGTATCTCTACGCACTGAAGCTTAGCAGGCAATTTCGTTACATTCATAATATTTCTTTATGTCCAACATCCATAAAATCACACTTTAATTTACATGTATCGTGTCTGTCTACAGTACAATATCTGACCTTTGACCTTTTCGCTCACTCCTCCGGCTGGAGAAATCTTAAAGTGCCATTTTAACACATATTTGCCCCTGGGTTCAGGCAAAAATTTGGACGCTCGCGCATAATAAAGACCCAGTTAGGGTATATATCCTTTAAATGTTTGCTTTAGATTACATAGACAGATTACATATTATTTTGTGTTGAATGTATCCTTTTTTTAAAGTCCTTTGCAAAATATTGACCTGCCCAAGGATGAATATACCACCGTGCCTATAAGTGAAATCGCACGGAAAATCCAACAGAGAGACCAAGTATAGAAAGCATGCGCATGGATCGTTGTTAATAGCGCACCTGTAATGAAAAACTTATTAAAGTCATCTCTTTACCGGTGATTTTAATTTGACTTTGACAAACTGCATGTTGGATCGCTACGAACCACGAACACAGCGACATAATAGACCGTCTTCTGCTGATCAAAGGTAAATGTTTTAATTATCCAATACAATGCAGTATTATTTGCTTTTTAAGCAAATTTGATTTTTCAGTTCGAATATTCTTAAATCAATTATACATGTATTTCTGTACATCTGTAAAAGTGAGTTTTTAAAAAAATATTTTGGGAATTCTTTTTTGCATTTACATAGACTCAGATGCGAACATTGCGTGTATGCAGAAAGAAATTAATACAAATCCCTAACAGTTTTCGAAACTTAAAAGCAAATTAATCTCTCTCTCTCTCTCCATGTGCGCAGGGGCAAGGGCTCTGCAGTTGTTAATGCAAAGAACTTTTCTTTACTTCACCGAGGTAAAATTTTATTTTAATTAAAGTTGCATTCCAAAACATTTGAGAAAGCATATAAAGTTTTAAGCTTACAGTAAGACGGCTTGTTCGAGGTAAATTGACCTGGTGGAATTTTTGGGTTATCAAGGTGTATTCTTAGATCGTGTAATTAGACAATGACATGTCGGTTAATACACAATACCTGTGTGTCCGCCGATATGTGAGTCACAGCGGTTTTATGAATGAGCGGAGACCCGCCCCCATGTTTAGGAAACCTATATCAAATACATATATTTCATCCGGTGACGATCAACGAATCAATGAGCGTTATGGATTTGGGGGAACCTTTGATCAGAGGCGTTTTATGACGTCATTGCTCTTGTAGATGATCATTTCAGAATCAAGAAATAGATGCCAAAAGTTTCTTTTAAAAGGTCTGTCTACATTTGAATAGCAGAGATAAGTTTGTCTCCTGTTAGGTGGTGGATCAAACTTTTTCAATAAAAACAATTAAGCGACTTGTAGAAAATCCTGACTGCGCCAAGAATATTAAGGATCCTCTGTACACTGCACACCAAAGAGTTCCTTTTTAAAAAAATTTGTGCAGTTAGAGTGATCTGCCCTTATATCTTAAATTAGATAATTAATATCCAGAGGGTAAACTTTCAAATTAGATTTTGAGTAAAATATTCAAATCGGAATGACCTAAAATTTCATATTAGTGAAAAGTTCGGTTTAATGCTTTTTATTGTCTTTTTAAATTTACAGAAGTAGGTAAAGAAAAGTTTGACTTGTACATCTGCAGATATCAAAATTTCGACTGCACTGGGTGGGAATCTCAATTAAAAGGCATTTCTTACACGCATGGTGATAACCTCTAAGAAACAAAGCCCGTGAAAGGGTGACCTGAAATATCTAACGGGGAGATAAACTTTTAAACAATTTAATGTCAGGATTTTTTTTTTATTACATTCTAGTTATTTAACCTGAGGATTGCAACAGTGCACTGAGTAAATAACAGGAATTTGATAATGAAATGGATTTTGATGGAAGTTGATGCCGGGGTTCATTCTTTGTTGAGGGGGGGGGGGGGGGAACTCATTCCAGCTTTTGACAAAATTAAAAAAAAACCAATGTCTCTCAGATATTTTGTACGTAATTATGTCAAACAAAAAGAGAAATAAAAATTTACAAATGTCAAATAATACATGTATCATGTGTCTTTTTTCGTCCGAGTTTTACCGAATAGGTATTTATAATATGGAAAGCAGTCAAGGTTGTGAAATGATGCGGTGGCGTGTTAGAGTTATCGTTCTTGGTGTGTGCAACTACATGTATTATTACGTCGCGCATCGTGTATAGCTCCAAGGTTAGACAGCGCAATAAGAGTTTGTCCTTGAGATTTAATTTGGAAATTATATATTATACTTAATCTGTCTGGAAATTACATATTAATTATGCTTTGTCTGTTGGTGTTTAAGAAATAGAAACAACAGAAACTTCTTACTCTATAAATTGGGTTTCGCCGAGAGCATTATACGGCTTGATGTGTGAGAAAATAGACGTAAGTGCAAAATGTAATTTTCCTTAGCAATTTGTACCTAACAATCGTCCATTTCAACGATCTGTTTTGAAAGGGAAATATTTCAATTATTTTACTTTTATATACCTATTAAAAGAACCTCGGGGTATATAAAAGTGTATTACAATTTAGTTATCTTAACGGTTCGTTTTGGAGTTTTTTTAAAAGAAAAGGTACTATAAGTTTTTAATCCTTATGATGGCCGAAATTTAAAGAAAAAAATGTTCAAAGGTTAAAGATTGTTAAAAAATAATTTATTTCGTTAAAGGAGATAATCTTAAGCAATGTGATTAACTGTCCATGCAGAGTTATGCATCTTTTTCTGGTTGCACGTCACAGATCATTCTTAAAACTTCACTTTTCTTATTTCAGTGTAAAGTTATTTGCTGAATGGCCTCTAGGATTTATCCTTTTGAAAGGTAAAAATATATAATTTAATTTAAATCTAAATATATGTTTAATCAACTATAGAGAAGTTTTTATCATATATAGATGATTTCGTAAAGGCGTTTTAATACATTTAAGAGTCTTTGCTAGTGAGGGTGAGTGCTTATATATATATATATATATATATATATATATATATATATACATATATATATATAAATATATATATATAAATATATATATATATATATATATATATATAAGAAGAAGAAGAAGATATATCTCATTTTTAAAATTGTTAATGCTGTGAAAAAGGATTTATTGAATTTTTTTATTTATTTTCTTTATTAATGTCATTCTTCAAGATCCCCAACTTGTGTATTCAATATGCAATCCTTTCATAACGCACTGGTAAATGGGATTATGCAGTTTGTTTTTAGTGAATAGGAAAGTGATGATTTACCCCCTTTTTTGATGTATAAGATTTGCATCGGTTACAGTGATGTAAAGGATGCACGTCTCTTCCCGGAACGACTTGATGACTGTCCTTACTTCTAAGAAAATACCCATTACCGGGCCAATTTCTCATATACATCATTTTCAAATTGATAATTAATAGGAAAGCAAGATACGATCTGAAACGGGTAAGTTCTGTAATTTTTAATTCAAAAAGCAACGGGTTTGCATTTTGGAAAGTTCTACATGTAGCATTGACCAACCTTACTAAAGATCCTTAAATGATGCAGAAGTAAATGCATGCATTATTATAATAACGATTTGTACATGTATTACATGCACCTAGGAGGTCAACCCACCACAAAGTCTGCTGCGGAAAAGGGAGTATCCTTGATTGCAAAAATCGGTCAGTGGCATGTACATGTCCAATTCAGTATGCATTTAAACTCTTGTTCCAATATGTCTGAGAAACTTTTGGCCATGAAACGTATACAGCAATACAGATATGACAAACTGACATTGATGATTGGCATACTAGGTACTTAGATACCAAAATGCACGAGATGTTTCTTGGGGAAAATGATAATAAAAATAGA